AGGGAGAGGATGAAAGCTGGGGAAGAAAGGAGACGGAAGAGAACTCGAAGAAAAGAAAAAGGCTGATCCCCGTTAGGAGGAGGGTACTGCAACCCCATTGGAATCTTTTTTTCCAGCCAAGAATAAAAACTAACTACCCAAGTGAGAGAACAACCCTCGAAGATGGGTATATACGGTACATATATACGTGTCTAGTTCGTAGCATTTCCACGGGAATTAAGTTTTACGCTCAATGAACGCGCAACAACGGAGTCCCTCCGGCTAAATTGCATTCAAGGCGAAGAGACCGTTTCCTCGTGACTATGCGGATGCCACCTCTTAAAGAAGGTATTCAAAGCTACGAGATACCGATGTGCCAGACGGTTCGCGGACAGCTTTTGTTCCGCGAACGAGTCCACCCTCGACTTTCCACCGCCCAGACCTTCTTTCGACGAAATCTCTGCGCGATCGTTCGACGTTTCGATGTTTCGTCGCCTCAACTAGAACGTGCAGTGACGCGAATTTTCGTTTGATCGAAGACGCGAAGGCTACCGCGTGTCGAGTATCCGTTAAATTTCAACTCGTGACGGGATGTTTATCGGTCGTACGATTTTCAATTTCGTTGAAAAGAGGGTAATTTTCAGTCTGTGCCGTTATATTCGATCGAACGCGATGGAAATCGAGTACGAGCCGTTCGAAAGGATTTAAAAACGTGGAAATATTTGTCGATGACTAGGAAGATATAAAGAGTAGTTGGGAAAATCGATTAATACCCCGCAAGAAGTTTTCGACTTTTCCCGATTCCATCGGCGCCCGGTACTCTCCTGTTCGCGCACAGACTGCGTTACGTACGGGTACGCGACCATTGTGGACGCCAGGGAGCGACAGAGTGCTCTTCGGGAACAATGCGGTTGTGTGCAAACACTCGTGGAAACAATGCACGGCCGGAACTTAACTTTCCGCCGGAGTCGCAGCCTCTCTCCTCGTACACCGTCGAATACAATTTCCGAGCAAACTGTACTCGCACACTCCGCGAATTTCATCCTTCGATCCTGCTACGCTGCCTCGAAATTATTATCGAGAACCAGAGATTTATCTTGGCAAGTTTTTTCGTAACCCCGAAGTAATCGGAAATTCGTACGTAATACTTTCGAACCATTAGGGATACTATTAAAATTACGTCAGAGATCGAAAATCCTTAATATGCGACGATGTCGCGCTAAACATAGTTTTTTCCACTTTGTTGATCGACGCGATAAGCGACCTCTATCCGGTTGCAACGAAATCCGGCAAAATAAAAACTAATATTAACGCGTGAAATGGTTGAGCGCGAACGAGCGGATGGTACGTAATAATGGAGATTTAACAGTCATTAGAGACAAGGTGGCGTTATACATATACGTCGTTCGGTAACATAAAGTGTTTGCAGTAGGGTCTGACCAAATCGAAGGGCGAGAGTGGAAGCGGGGGTGGTCGGTAGTTGTAGCGAGAGATCGATTGATCGGGGGTGGAAAAGGCAGGCTTGCCGTTCGTCTTTCTCTCGCCGAGCGTATCTCTCGCCCAGCGTTGTGCAGCAGGCTCGTAGACTAGTCGAGTACCCTCGAGGACCAATCGAGTGGCGACTTGGGCATTTTGCCCGCACTTGGCGGCCCTGTAACAAGTGCATTGTCCTGTGCGCCAAACTGCACAAAGATAAAGAAACCTCTCTTGCCCACCGAAGAGGTTCCCCCGCATCCCTCGCTCCGATTTCGCAGCGGTCTTTTAATATCGCGCCAGTGCAAATAAGCGTGCCAGCTAGTCCTTCTCCCTCTTTCGACTACCCCCCTTTATCTTTTTGTTTCGCAAAGTACTCGCATTTTCAGCGTAACCCTCGAACCATCGTTTCTTCCGCGCAAAAGAACATTCGAAATTCTAGGGAAACAGGTGCTCGTCTTATTACGCTTTAAATCAGCCAAGTTGTCGCGTGGTACGACGAACGAAGAGTTTGCTCGTAACGAGTGCTTTGTGACTAGCGTAGAGCGCGAGACCGCACAAAGGTATAGGATATTCGCGCCTGACTCGCTTCACGAGGACCCTCGACGACGTAGGCCGCCCTTTTCTTCGCTGGCCTTCTTTTCATAGCCAGCCAAATTTTAATATAGCCAGACCGGGTGAGGAGGCGTCACGGGGAAGCCTCGCGTTTTATGGATTCTCTTTCATCGGTCTGAAACTTCATTTCGCGGCAAGGATCCGCGGCAAAGACCTCGTAATTAAACGAGAAAATCGTGCTCGTTTCGCATTGTTTCGAACCTCCCTACCAGCGGTTTTCTCGCTCTTTTATTTTCTCGCGAAAACACGAACACGGCGTACCATGACAGACCAGAAAAATCGAGTGGCGATCGAGAGGACTCGTTTCGTTCGTAACCGCGAGAAGGAACTTTCGCTCGAATGCTCCGAGAAGCACCCTTCTTTCATCAGGGAATTCGTAGTTACGCCACGCAGAAGCCATCGAAACGGGAACAATGCTTTATTAAAGCGGGTTTATCGATGCGAAATTTCATTTTGCGCGAGCGTACCCGCGTTCGAAACGAGATCCACGAGCGTACAGCAATATTGCATCGGAAACGTGGACGAAAGTCGCGCTCGAAACTTTCGTCTCGATTCGCGCGCTTGTTACTTTCGCGTCGATTCGAGTTTAAGTTGACTTTTATTAACTGGTTGGAACGCTTACGAATAGTATAAGCAACGACCGTGCATCGTACCATCGCATCGTAACGAATCGAAGATGCCACCGATGGCCGACGCGACGCGTAGAATTTCCATTATTTCGTTGATCCTCCCCGGATCGCGAATCGTATCGGAAATACACGGGGACCTTCTGCGCGGCTGTCGTCGTTCGATTGTTTTTCACGTCGCACATGTTAATTAAGAACCGATTAGCCGGTTTTAATCCGAAACATATGCCAGACGGTGGAGCTCTCCTCCCCGTTCGAGCTCCGAGCAACGAAACGATATTCTCCCGGGAACGATAACGAAGACGACAACGGCGACGTGGAGGACGACGCAGATGCGGAACGGAAGGGCAAATAAATTAATAAGGCCAGGTTACGAAGGTGCGAGATCGAAAGCCGAGCGGTACCGGCTTCGCTAGAACGACGACGTTCTTGACTTTGTAATCGGAGAGGATAAAACGCGGCTTAGGCAGCGGCTAAAACGTGAAACGGAAAGACACTGACTCGACCAACGCGTCCGAGATCGAGCCCTTTTTCGACCCGGTTCTCGGTTTTCGAGAGGACGCGACGCGTTTTCGGAATTAGCCTCCTCGTTGTCCGTCTACGAGGCGAATCAACGGCTTCGAAGAGTGCCGTGGAGTCGTGTTGCATCTTCTTCGGATTATCCGGCGATCAAGCCAGCTGCCAACCGCGCCATCCTCGATTCTACGTCCCCATCTTCCGCGATCGCTTTCGATATTCGTGCATCGGGAACTTTCCGTTAGTCGTGACTTCCGTTCAGAGACCGGTATCGCGTTGCGATTGTTCGAAAAGAATCGTCGAAAACAACAGTCGCGGGATCGAAGTGCGCGAGTTTCAATATTTATGCGTAAATTACGATCGACTGACGCGTTCGAATATCGTCACTGACATGGCGCGATAACGGTTGCCTCGACGTTAATTAGAAATTCGACATTTTCCAAAGTTTCGAAAGTCGCGAAGACGTATCGCGGGTATTTTGGCGTTGGTCAAGGTATTTATCGGGTCGATTCTCGTTCGATGTTTCGAAACTCGTAAAAATCGTCGATTCCGCCGGGGCGAAATAGGTAGAGAATTAATCGGTTTTGAATTTGCACGACAGAAGCAGCGGGTAATTCCGTGGCGCGGAGGAGCTTGGCTTAGACGCGGCCGCGAGGCGCGG